GCACTCTCCTCACTGGAGCCAGCCAGCAGTGGCCAGCCCGGGGACGGGGCCAGCCAGCCCAAACCTCGGAGTGGCGACCTGGTGGCCAGGGGCAAGTGCAGTGCCTGCGGCTCCTTCCTTGGTGCTGCTGCTGGCCAGGGCACGGACACACCAGCGGCCACCAGCATGGCTGAAAGCAGCCCCACGGCACAAGGAAGCGTCCCAGGGGATAGTGGGGGGCTGAGCACTGCCCGGCCAGAGCCCAAAACCAGGGCTCTGGGCCCCCGGGGGTCCCCGCTGTGGATCCTCCCCTCCCGACAGCGCATCCACACCGAGAAGATCAAGGAGACATACATTGGGGATGTCACCTACATCGATGACGTGGACTCAGCCCTGGAGAGCACTGACACCTCTGACAGCTGCCGAACAGACAGTGAGGAGGCAGGACCCTGCAACCCTCACTTGCAGGGGCACCGGGACCCTCGGCTGAGGGGTCACAGGGTTCCCCGTGCCACCCCGCAGCCAGAGGCAAGGGCCGGGAAGGAGATGTGTGTGGCTGGCGGTGGCCCCCGTGGAGGGGATGGGGGCTCAGGTGGCACCACAAGCCGGACAGGGGCTGTTTGCCTCCCACCACTGGGGAGAGCTGGCAGCCAGGAGGAGGAGGAGGACACTCTCTGGCATGTGGGGGGCAGCGAGGGGGTGGGAAACACCGCTCGTCCTCTGCAGCAGCCCAGTGAGCCCCCGGATCCCTCCTTGCAGCCAGGAGCTGGCACTCCAACTCCAGGCACCCACTTCCCCGCTCCCCCCCCAACCAAAAAGGCCTGCTCCCAGGTGCCTTGCAGGAAAGCACTCTTCTCCGGTGGCAGCCGCCGGGCATCGAATCAAGCAGCCCGGGCCCCGGAGCCTGAGGGTGGGAGCACTGCATCCCCCCAGCCCAGGGGCACAGCAGGGTCGGGGGGGCAGCGGCGTCCCTGCAGCCCCAGGTGGCTCCCCGGGAGCCCCCTCCGTGCCTTGTCCACCAACAATTGCAACAACACCCACGGGCAGGACCCTCTGGGTACGGGCAGAGGTAAGAGACCTGTGCACAGGGGTGCCTGGGAGGGTCCTCAACGAGGCAGAGATGTGACGATCTCACTGCGGTTACAGAGGCACCGTCTCACCCCACCGTCACCCCTGCACCCCAGGAGGCTGCTCGTCCCCCCAGGGAAGCTACCAGGACACCCGGAGCGCAGCATCACCCGCCCGGGAGCGCAGCACAGGGGTGAGTGTGAGCGAGGGGCTGCCAGCGTCCTGCACCGCGCAGTGGGTGCTGCGTCCCTGAGCATCCCTCCTCAGCGCAGCAGGATGCTGCTGGGCTGAGCCCGCCTGGGGCTTCCCGGTGCGACTCAGTGGCACCAAAACCCTCTCAGAAACTGCAGTCTGGCACTGACAGTTTTGCCTGTGTGTTCAAGTGGGTTTGGGGGAGCAGTGTTTCACCCTGCATCTGGTTCCACCGGGGGCGTTGCAGCAAATGTGATGGTGGATGCCCCTGCAGCTTGGCGCTAGGATTTTTCCTCTGGGGAAAAAATCAGCTGCTAAATGCTGCCAGCTCCGGAGCTGCCTTGGGGCTCACCAAACACAAACCCCCTGGACCCGCACTGGGGCACAGTGTGTCTCAGCCTGGCAGGAGGGTTCACAGGCAGTGCTGTGTCTTTCAAGCCCCTTGGCAGAGTGTGATCACCAGGCATTGAGCCAGGCGGGGCTGGAAGGTGTTAAACCCCTGCAATTAGGGTGTAAATGGGTAGGGAGCCCTTCAGGTTGCTGGGTTACTTCTGCAGGGAGGTGGCTGCACCCCGATCTCACCATGCACCCCAGTCTCACCGTGCTGTGGCTCTTAAGGCTGCAAAGGCAGGTGCAGGATGCATCCCCAGCCCCGAGAAAGCTGCTGGTCCTGCTCCCCCCCAGCCAGGAACAGGGTGGATGACTATCGCCCCTCTCCACACAGGGAGCTGGGGCAGCCTGTGAGCCGCAAGGGCAGCAGCGCTTCAGCCTCGGGGCTGAAGAAGCTCCTGTGCAGCCTGAGCCAGAGCACGAAGCAGCGCCTGGGCCGCTTCCGCTGCTACAGTATGGAGCAGCTGCCAGCCCCTGGCGGCACCCCCCCGGACAGCCCCGGCATGAAGAAGTCACCCTCCCTGCAGTCCCTGCACCTGGTGAGCTTGAAATGTCACCACAGTCGGTGGGTCCTGCTGGGGAAGGGGTGCTGGGCTGGGGTGAAGCATTACTGAGCATCGCTTTATGGCCCCAGAGCTACAGCAGAGGGGAGGTCATGGGAGCATGTGCCAGCCCAGGTTTGAAAAGCCCGGAGCCAAATGGGGAGTGGAAGGGTGTAGAAGAGAGCAAGGCAGGGGTGGAAGAGCAGATTTTTGGGAGGAGAGATGATGGGGTAATTTGGTTGGGGGTTGTGGCCTGTGCATCTCTGCAGCGAGGCGCCTCCTGAAGAAGCCTTGCTCCTTGCTTGGGTGTCCCTGCCCAGGGCTTATCCCTCCTCCCTGGTGGTTTGGGGAGGGCTCCGGCGGCGTCGCAGGTGGCATGGGCTGCCCCCTACTCCCTCAGCATGTCGGTGGGTAGAGGGCTGCAGCGCTTTAGGTGTTTGTGGTTGTCCCCAGCTTAGCGGAACGCTTTTTCCCCAGGTGTCACCCTTCTGCCAGCCCCGAAAAGCCACTTCCATCCAGAGCCTGGACCCGCTCCTGGGTAAAGCACCCCGTGCCAGCACCTACCTCCTGCCCCAGACTGTGGCTGACAGGTAGGACAGGGCCCAGCACATCCCAGCTGTGCCTGGGAAGGCTGTTTGGGGTGCTTAGCCCTATCACCAGTCACCCAGTGGCTTCCCGGAGTCCCTGCTCACCGTGTCTCCCCTCTCCCCACAGGAAGGGGGGCTCGGGGCCGCGGCGCTCGCTTAGCGTGGAGGACATTGGGGCGCCTGGCCGGCTGCGTGCAGTGGGGCGCGTGGTGGAGGTATTCCCTGACGGCACCAGCCAGCTGGAGCTGCAGCGACCCCCCCATGGCGCCTTTGGGTTTTATGTCACCTCCGGGCATGGTCGGCCTGACACAGGTACGGTGGGGACATCCCAACGTGCATCCCCCATGTGTAGGGGAAGCATGGCACAGCAGGCCCCTCCGCAGTGGCTCTGGTCTCTCCCCAGGAGCGAGCCTGGGAACAGGTGGAGGGTGGCTGCTCCATCACGGCTGAGCCCCAAAGGGGTGACAGTGGTGGAGGAGGGATGCTGCCATGTGTGGCTTTGGCCCAGGACATGCGGCCCATCCTGAAGGCCATTTATAGTGAATTTGTTGCCATGCACAGGCCCAGCATGCAGGGCTGGAGGGGCTCACTCACCCCGTCCCTCTTTGCAGGTGTCTACGTGCAGGAGATGGCGGACGCCGGCACGGCCAAGCTGTACGCGGGGCTCCTGGGCGTTGGGGATGAGATCCTGCAGGTCAACGGGGTGGCTGTCTCAGGGCTGGGGCTGCCCCGCATCCACGAGCTGCTGCGCCGGGCGGACACCCTGACCCTCCGCGTGCTCCGGCACCGCCCAGCACCCCGGTAGCCCTGGTACGGCTCCCAGGGAGGACAATGTCCCACCGATGTCCCGGGATGCTGCAAGACGGTGCCAGAACCTGCCCCGCTCCAGTGCAATGCTTGGCCCCCCGTGAGGCAGAGCGGGACCAAGGACCCCCGTGTCCAGCATCTCCAGGAGCTGCTCCAAGTGTGGGGCCAGGGGACAGCCCAGCCCTGCTGTTGAGCTGGGGTGTGTGTGGGGGTCTGTCCTGCTGGGCACCAGGGTGGGGACACTGTCTCCTTGCACCCCCGAGAGATGCAGGGTTCCCTGCCACCACTGGAAGCCTGCACCCGCAGGCTGGCAGGTTCCTTTTAAATTATTTCAAACAAAAAAAAAAATATACGTATGTGATCACAAAACATGGTGCCCTTGGCTTGCAGGTGGCATGGAGGGGCTGGGGTGTGGCACTTGGCCATTGGGACATGACATGCCCCAGCCCCGGGGGTCGTGGGGCCGCTGGCAGCTGCAGGAGCATGTGGGTGCCTTCACACGGGGCTGAGCCCCCGGGGCTGCTGTAACTGCGGTGGGGGGCTTGTCCAGGGCGCTAAACACACGTCCTGGCTGTGGGGTGGCAGGGGGTGCACAGCGCACGGGGCAGAACTGGGATGCTGTCAGCTGAGGAGCCCAAGCTCTGGTGTGTGGGGTGAGGAAATGGGGATGGGGCAGGGGACCCTCATGGGGCGAATGCTCCCCAGAAAGCTGGGGGGGGCTCTACCCATTGCCACCCACAGGCACCCTGTTTTGGGGGGGAGGCCTCTGGATGGGCCCAGGGTGTTCACTGGCTGCTTTCTCATGGCCCAGTTGCTCTACCAGCTACCTCCTGCCCCTCTTGTGGTGCTGGGGGGGAGTCCTGGGCAGGTAGATGGGGTGTTTGGCCACCTGCAGCGCTCCTCGAAGGGCAAAACAACCCCATTCCCCAGTGGGCGGCACGGTGGGGAGCACAGGGTGATGGGGCCGCTCTCTTCCTGCCAGCACTGCCAGGATTGCTAATTAGAGGAGTCTGCGCTCTTGCTGCCTGGTTTTTTTTTTTTTTCCATCCACGGAAAGGGAAACTCGTGCCGGGGTGGCTGCACAGGGACAAGCCTCTCTGGGGAGCAGAGAAGACACGGCAGCAGTGGCTGCCCTCTGCATGGCGGCACCCCCACATCTGGGCAGCAGCTGCCCACAGCAGAGAGGACCCCAGAAACCACAGCAGCTGCTTAGGCCTTAAAAGCCAGGAGGGTGATGCCTGGCTGATGCTGGTGGGACCTTTTTCACCACTATCTGGTGCCAGGAGACCCTCAACTTGTCACTGCGAGAACGAGCGGTGATCTGTGCTGTGCCACGCTGGGCAGCAGCACTGCATTTATTTAGTGTTAAGGGGAGAGGCATCACCAACAACAGAAAAAGCAAATGTACACAGGAGAAGGGACCGAAGACAGCCTGGTGGCTTGCGGTGATGCCAGCAGCTGGGCCACCCTCCGGCAGCATGCCGGACTAGCAATGCAGCGGTCCCACACAGAGCACCGGGAGCCTTTCCTGGAGGATGCACAACCATGCTGAAAATAACGCAGGGATCGGAGGTGTGCGAATACCGGCCACTGGCCAGCACCCTGCTTGGACTCACACTCCCGGGAACCTGCTCTGTACTAAGCCCCAGGAGCCACGCAGACATTGAGGGAGCCAGCCTTGGGAAGGAGGCACCGCGTATTTCTTACAGCGTAACCAAAAGAAAATAAGAATGAAGAGCAACTGCTGAAATAATTGGCAGGGGTCGGCGCTAAGGGTGCGTGTGCGTTAGTGACAAGAGTCTCTGCCCAGACCTAGCGGGGCAGCTTGGTCTCGCCCCAGGCAGAAGGCACGGTGCTGTCAGCGCCCCGCGCCTGCGGGGAGGACAGGGGGGAGTCACGCAGCCACTTGAAGGAAGCCACAAACCCGCCGGGGAGGAGTGTTCAGTCCAGGCTAAGCATCCTGGAGGTAAAGCCGTCTGGCAGTGAGCTTCCTGCTCAGGGAGGATGATTTTCAGGGGTGATTTGCAATTTCAGCAGAAGCCTTAGCATCAACACCAATTAAATTTCTCCCCCAGCCCCATCTGAGACCCAGATGGGAGGCGTAAGCCAGCCTGTCCTGAGTCTTTTGGTGTTTGCAACTTAAATACAGGAGCAGACTTTAGTAAGAAACCAGTTCTGCTTTCCTGAAGAGTCACTCCACATCCTGCAATCAGTGTCTGCAGCACGAACCCCCCTCATGCCTGCATTTCTCCCCAGTGATACTGCCAGGGTGGGCTTTCTGCACCACATATGGGTATTGACTACCCGGCTAACTCCTAATCCACTGTATGAGGGACACAACTAGGCTATCTGACACCGCTGAGACAACTCGTGTGACAAACAACTCCGAGGTAACAAAAGGGCTGGGAAGTCATACAGAAACGTGATCTAGCTTTGAATCTCCTGCCTTTTGGTTGCTCACAATGGAGGTGTCCAAAAAATAGCTGTTGGGAAAAATTAAGACATCCTATTTACAAGTTCATATGCACTTAAAATACATAATTGAGCCCCATTCCTTGGATAATGCATGTCATGCACCCACAGTGAGAACATGGCTCGAACGGTCATCAAAAAAATCTTCAAAGTTTTTTTTTTTCCTTAAAAAAAATAAGTTATTTTAGACCTGACAAATCACTTGCCAAAGGGAAGCAGCTGTTAAACAGAAGCAGTTACTCAGTTATACAAGGGCAAAGAAAGCATCAGTCAATGAGCTTGAGAGGCTTGTATAACAACAGAGGCAATTTTAAAAGCTTTAAGAAACTCACTCTCCGGCTGATGGTTTTGTTTGCCAACTTTCAGCGTGCATTAACCCAAGTTTAAAGCTCTGGGGCTTCTATTTGTGGCAGGCTGGCCGACGGCAGGACTCTGCACCGGAGGGCTCACCCGCCTGTAAGCTCCTGCCAAGGGGTGGTGGATGCGGATGCTCTGCTGCAGATTCACCCTGGGGTCTCAGCAAGATGAAGGCAGCGGGGGGGGGCGGGGGGAATGCGGCCGGGGCTCCCCTCCCTCGCTGTGGCTGCGTGGGGTTTCACACCACCACTCCTCCCAGTAATGCTTTTTTGGCTGGCAAACCCCCGCGGGCTGGCAATGTGGTTTGTAATGCTCAGTGAATTAATTAATTCCTCACCCTCCCCGGGCATGTCCTCCCCAGGGCTCGTTGCTGCGTGTCCGTGTCCGCATCCGACCTCCAGCAGCTCCGGACCGCTGCAACCAGCTCCTACCTGCACGGGGTGGAAGCGCAGGGGTAAGTCCCCCTCCAAGCTGCCCAGCTCCGGACCTGGAGCCCAGGTCAGGTTGGCGCCGCACTGGGGGAGAAGGCAGCTCCAGTCTTCTACCCCCTCTCCCCAAGGCCAGGTGAGACACAGGTGGGGCCAAGCCGTGATCCTCAGAGGAGAACGGCGAGAGCTGGGTGTGGGTCTTCTTGCCGGGGATCTCTGTGGGCGGACGGAAACGGTGAGAGTTTCATTTCCCCGTGCTACGGGGGCAAGGAGGTGGGGAGGGGGCGTCTAAGGAAGTTCAGTCCATCACAGGACAAAAAACAGGATGAGCACCACCAGCAAGATGACAAAGAGGACGATAATTGCACACCACTGCCGTCGATCTGGAAGGAAAAGGAAGCATCAGTCTTCCTGCTTTAACAGGGAAGGAAAATCGGGTGAGAGTTTTTCTTTGCTTTACTGGTAGGAGCCCAATCTGAGCTTAAAGAATCCATAAAAAGCCAAAGCAGCAGCTCCTTTGGCAGCGTGCCCCACTGCAGCCCACAAGGCAACAGCGTTTCTCCTCCAGGAATACATCTGGTTTTGGGGACAGCTGCGGGAATTCTTGAGACTTCTCCCCAACTAAGTTCAAACAGATTTGATAAAGCCGGTTCAAAAGCAATCAGGAGGAACAGACAGCTGCTGTGTGTTGCTGCTTGTTCATGGAGTAAACCGTTTGCTAGCAGAACAAGGGGTCTGGTGAAAGCTGCCCGGAAGAGCTCTGTCAGGAGGAGCTTGTGACAGCTACCCTGAGGAGAGAGCCAGGATTGAGGCTTCCCTTGGACATCCTTACACCTCGCTGGCCCCAGGCATGCTCTGCAGGAGCTCGATGCTGCATCGCCTCAAAGTGGCTACCTGTCAGTGGCCAGAGAAGGCCCCTGTGAGACAATGGTGCAGCAGCAGGGCCAGGGCTGCTGACACCCCCCAACTTCTGGGCACAGCAGCTCCTCTGGGAAGAGCCCTCTGGTCAGCCCTGGCACATGAGATGGCAGGGATAGCAGAAATGCTTTCACAACTCTCAGAAGCACTCTGCAATGATCAAAGTGTTTTTTTCCAGAGGAAAGGGGAGATACACAAGGTTTGCTGGTGGTCGTGCTGCCACCAGGCTACTGGTGACCCAAAAAGCACTGTCAGCACTCTAAATGGTCTCTCTAGGGCTGTATTTCTACCACCTCAGAAATCCCCCAGCCAGCCCAATTTTGCAGAGCAGGAACACATCTCCAAACTTGCTGCTGCCTCCACAAGCTACCCGAGCACCCACGGGAGAGGGATAACAGAGGAAGCAACCGCCGGGCACACTGCCAGCACTCGGAGAGGCAAGCCATGGCAGGGGGACTTCCCAGCAGGCACGCCGGGCTTCCTGTTTGCTCTGCCCGCGGCACCCCGCCAGCCCACCCACTGCAGGCACAGCCTTATAAGGACTTTTCTCGTGGGTTCAGCCTCCCCCAGACACAGAAATCGCCTTTTTCATCCATCAGCTGAGAGATCTATTGGGCCTGCCCGTCGCCAGCAGCATGAGAGAAGGTCAGATTTGGGAAGGAGCTTGCTGCGGGCAAGCGTTTGGTGCAGGGGGAAGCCACACACAGGTGGCGAGTGTTTTATGGCACCTTGAAAGCTTTTGTTATGCAGGCAGTCTGAGAAACTGCAGCAGTGCAGGAGGCTGCAGAGCTTCCCCTACTACTGTCGAGAGGGGGATTTTCCCACCGCAGCAGTAACAGCATAAATAGAAAGGCATCTGTAAATAAAACAAAGGCAAAGGACGGGCTGCAGAGCAGTGTCTGGGCAGGAGCAGCTGCAGGGCTTGGAAGTCTTCCCCCTCTTTCAAAAACCAAGAGAGCTGCTGCCTCCCCTCTGCTCGGGCCTGGCCAGGCTGTCGGTGAGTGGGAGCATGAAGCATCCCAGCCTGAAGATCTGAGGGCTTGTCTCTCCCTCTCCAGGACTAGATCCCACTTCCCAGGACCTACCGCTTGTCATGTGAGATACTTTGGCGAGCTTCTTCATGACATTATCAAGCCGTGACTGAGTGCTGTCTAACTCGTGGGAGAAGTCATCCAGCATCCTGGGGACAGAGAAGCACAGCACCCATCAGCAAGCAGTGCTTCCCTGAATTCAGGATTCCTCAGCGCCTGCACACACGCTGGTCAAAACCCCAATGTGATTAGCGTGTCACACCTGGTGGAGAAACGCCAGCACAGCCTGGTCTCCTTGAAAGTACCCAAGGAGGGGGAAAAAAGCCCTACTGAAGCAGCAGCTCTGCTTTGGTGGAGAGTGGGAAGTCATTTAGGACTCCTGTTGGACTGGTCCCCCCTGCGTGTTCACGGCTGAGCTCTATGCACCCCTGCTAGGTGAGGAGTGGGGTTTTTCCTCTTGTTAAAGAGGAAGGTTTCATTTATGATCTGTGATTAGCAGAGACCAGTTAGATAGATCTAGGTGCTAGCTTGCACTTTAAATCCCTTTTCTTGTTCAGGGCTTGCTGTTGAAGCTAAAATCTTGTTCCAGCCACCTATCAAGCAGGAACGAGGTTTGAAATTGCTTTTAAGGTGCTTTTTAAGCTCTGCCTGGAAGTTACCCCTCTACTTCCTCCACACAATGACTGTAATGAATCTGAAAGCCTTCCTGAAGCTGTGCTTTGTCAATGCCAAGAGCCCATTTGAAAAGAAATGAGCAAATCCAGAATCAAGGTACCAATCCAACTTTCTCCAGCCAGTGAGATTTTAAAGCTTAATATATTTAAAAGGACAGCTTCCCTCATTTGTTCTAGGACCCTTGTTAAACCTTTCATTCAGTGGGGAAAAAAAAGTTGTAAAGAATACATTGCAGTAGTTATCTGCTGCTGTCTAGCAAGCACTGATGGCTTACGTGATGGTATCGAAACAGACACACCACACCGACTGTCTTCAGTGAGAGCAGAAGACTCTCAGGCTTCAAGGCTTTGTACAGGAGATGTGTTTAAAGTTCCTCCTCTCCATCAAAGACAAGGGACATGCCCCTCCAGACTCCTACCAGCCAAACAAGGAGGGCTTTTAAGCACAAAACCTTCAAGCCTCTCTGCAAGTGGTAGCTGTTAGCCTGCATACTGGAAACTTTATGGGCTTGTTTGCAAAGGGGAACTGGGAAAAAATCTGATTTATATGCAAATGATGGATGCAAATTACTTTGTGAGCTACCCTTTAACCCTTTGCATGGGTGAGGGTTATTTTTAGCTTAAACTATGAATAGCAGCTCTGTGCTGCATGTCTCAGAGCAGTGAGGCAGAGCTGAAAGCTCCCAGGTCAAGCTGTTTTCCAGGGTCAGCACAAAACCCTGTGGAGTGTGAAAGTACCCAGTATCCCCATTACACAGCACCTCCCTCCCTCATGCCTTTGGTACTGCTGGCTGGCTGAAACCAGGGAGCTCACTGCATGCCTTAGGGAGAGTGTATAAATAGGAGAGATGGGAAGGTAAACCAGCAGCTAAGCCTGCCCTAGGTGCTGGCTTTCAAACCAGCAACGGTTGGATTGCTGCAGGCTGCAGTAAGAAATGCTTTCCACTGCTTAAAATCAAAGTCTGGCTAGGAGCAGCTGCCTGACGGACTAGGAAATTCAAGGCCCTAACAGGGGCAGAGATATGTGTGCAAGGACCTCCAGCTGTGTTGGAGCCAGCCCCATGCTGGGTTTTCCGTGCTGCATCTCACACTTACACTGCTTGTTCCTCCAGCTCACCGCCAATGCGCTGGGACATGTTCTTCAGCACCCCAATGCTGCCAGAGACCAGCTCCAACTGCTCATCTTGCTGCTCCACAATCAACTGGGGCCAAAGAGAAGGGAAACGCAATTACAGGTCTGCTGCCTCCTGCAGCTGGGTTGGAGCCAGCTGATCCCATGGACAGACACACGCTGCTAAACCAACATCAGCTGCAGGAGCCTGGGCACAGATCTAAACCATCAGGAATGAGGACCACATTTCTAAGAAATGCTGGGGAAGTGACAGCCACAGGAGAGCCTCCTGGGCATGTCATCCCTGCAGCACAGCAGGCTGCAGTCTCCGGAGAGCCCTGCAAATCCAGCGTCAGCTCAGCCATGCCCCCTCCCTTCCGTGCCATACCCACCACTAAAACAACTCTTGGAAACCACAGGGGCTAGTCGTCAAAACCTCCGCAAGCCCCCCCTGTCTGCAGTGGGCACCATGGAGCCACACTGATGCTGTGCCTGGGAAATGCAACCTGGAATGTGCGGCAGCTAGCAAGGGGTTAATGGCAGTAAAAGGCTGTTGCAGCTTCCACAGCTGAAAATAGCAAGCCTGGCTTCAAAAGTGCCAAATAGGTCTGATGATGTTTTAAGTAATTTTCAGAGCACAGTCACGCTAAGGATTACGCTAAGGATTATGTTTACCCTCATTACCTATTTCTGAATCTATTTATCTTCCTGGAGTCACTAAGTAAAACTGCAGGGCGGCATCATGGGACAGGAGCTTTACCAAAGTTTGCCACCTCCAAAAAGCTCCGTGTTTAAAGGCCCACGTTTGGGTGGGCTGCTGTATGCAGGTCTGCATGCTGCCTGAGCACTTCTCCAGACAAACTCCCCCAGCAGTGGGAAAACAACTCGCCAGGGGTTCGGCAAAGCCCACGCACAGGCTTTCTCACGAAGCTTGTGTTGACAAAGGCAGGAAAAGGAAGCAGGCATGTGCTCCTGCTCCTAGCCCTGTTCTGATGCAGATGCACACAAACAACAGCAAACATCAGCTCATTTTTTAACCAGGGGAAGTTGCATAAGAGAAACAGGCTCTTTTCTGTTTGCGATGTTTCTACTCTTCCAAGGATTTCAGCAACTGATGTCGTATTAAAGCTTAGCGTGCTACATCTTCCAGATCTTGTTTGCCTTCTATACAGAGCAGAAGACCCAAACCTCGAGGGTTAAAAACTCCGTGCCAGGTGCATCCAAAGCTGTATGTTTGTACAGGAAATGCATGCATGGGTATATGCTGCAAGCAAAGAGGAGTGCTGTCAGGCTCCCAGATCCAGACTAGCCAAGGACTAGATATGGTTTTTGGCTCTTGCAGCCTGCACCTCATCCCCCCAGCACCCATCTGGCAAGCAAAACTATTTAGCTAGTCCTCATGGTGCCAGTTGTTGCCTTACCTGTTGTTGAGCTTGCTGCTCCTCGATGAAGTGTGAATTTGCTAAGTGCAGCTCCCGGTCCAGACGGCTGTATTTGTCAGGTCCAGTGCTCCAACTCTGACTCCCGCTTTCTCCCAGGAGCACCTAAAGAGATGCAGAGAGCCCTTAGCAACACCCTTGTGTCTGCTCACAGCCTGTATACAGGGTGTTATGGGAAGGCAGACAAGGCAATGCTCCTGTACACATATACAGCACCCTTGTCCTCCTGCTCTACTGCTACTCAGCCAGAGTGCTGTCACAATCTAAAACAATACAATCCCAGAACACCAGCCTGGGAAGTCTCTGCAGCTTGATATTGCAGATCTGCCCCTCCAGCAGCAGGAGAGCTGGAGTACAACCAACAGACGGTGTATGCAGGCAGTCTGCACAGCACAAAGGACTAGCAAAGGTCTAAGAGGCAGCATTGTGTGGACATGTAAGCTGGGAAGTATCCAGCTATATTGTGTTAACAGACATATAGCTCGAACTGAATGTTGTGCTACGGACAGGGTCTTAAGAGGGTCTGGATAAAGTGCTTAACCAGTGCAATATATAACCACAGCAGGGTTGTATATTCATAGTCTTTGATTCAGGCTACCTCTTCCTCCAGCGTACCGTACAGTTGCCAGCATACAAGATTACACTTGCTACCTGCTCTACAACCTTAATGGAGAAGCTTGCACAAAAACAGCAGAGATGTGGCTTTCCGGCTGAGTAAGTCTGGTCCCTGGAAAGGATACAACATGAGCAATGAATGCTGGAGAATGAACATGGTCCGCAGGTGAGGCGCTGCACCCTGCAGCAGGATGGATGGGTGAAGGAGCTCTGCCCACTAGCGACAAAGCAAGGCCAACTCGTAACGAGACTGATCATGGGCAGGACAATGACTATTTGTGAAGAGCAGCAAGATGATGACCAGGCTGCTCCAGCAGGCTAAAAAAAAAAGATGGTCGCTACAGTTCATCTGCCTTACAAGGCTCAAGGAGGGATGAGGAAAGCCGACGGACCAACCACGCAGGAAGCTGGCAGACATCTGGCTTTGTCTGCCCCGGAGACACTGAGCAAGCTCCTGGTCCTCTCCAGTTCATGGGAAGCAAGCGCAGCTATCGTTTATTTAATGTGATGCACTAGTTTTGCTGCAGCTTCAACACAAAGGCCTCTGTTTGCCAGCCTTTGTCTGTGAGGGTCAGGAACCTGCCTCTCAGATGCAGAGGCATGCTGGAAAAGCTGCTACAGCCCAGCCCAAGCTTCACAGTCTGAAGCTGAAGGGCTGGGGAAGGGAGAGGAAGACGGCAAACGGAAGTCAGTTTTCCTGACCAGATGTCGCCATGCTCACTGGGCCATATGGTCTCCTGCAGCTAGCAGGAACTTCACGCAGGAGAAAGCAGCAAAACACAGACAGCTACAGACTTGTTTGAGCAGGGATGTAAGGGACTTTGCTTCTTCAAGCGTTTGCCAAGCATGTCAATTTACCCCATAACAAGCTCAGGAATCAGCTCTGTGCTTCTCTGTAGCTTGTTGCAGTTTGTAATTTTTGCCACAAGTGGTATGATAGGTGCAGTCAGATAAGTTCCTTGTGCGAAGTGTACACCAGCTTTTACTGAGGCAGCTCTGAGATCTCCTTACAGCCGCCCCCATCAGCTGAGAAGGAGCACAAGCCACATCTATTCCTTAGATTACAAGTGCAGACAACCTGAGACTCCTTGAGCTTCTTCCATGGCTAACTATTATGAGGCAGTTGTGTGAAAGGATATTGCAGCATCTTAGCTCCAAAACACATCAGAGCGCAGAATTACACAAGGATTCTGAGTCTGTTCCCCCTGAGGAGGAGGGAGATTCCCCTTTCCACGGGATGACGCAACACCAACAGTTGTACACAACCATATCTGAAGACAAAGACAGATGGCAAATGCTGACTTATTGCTTTTAGAGACAGGCTTGGAAGAGGAAGGCAGCATCGTGCCTGCTAGAACCAGCTCTCTCAATCAGCAAAACAGACACAGTTCAAACACACAGCTTTGCTGCAGCATGCAAGCCTCCTCCCAGAACAAAGGTTTTTAAGGGGATGAACTACAGACAACATATATATTGTAATTACAGCTTTTACACAGCTTCGATCAAAGCTATATGCTCTACCTTACAATGTGGGGCCTTGAAGTAAGTGAAAATTGAAGTTCCAGCTAGCACATACCTTAAGACACCAGCTGCCAGAGCTGATAAATCCTCCTCACTCCTTAAAGTACCAAACAGCTACTGCATTCACTTAACTTGCCTGTTTCTGGTTCTTACCTGCCTGTTCTTCCTTTCAGCCAGTGCTTGCATGGAGGAGTTTGACATCTGATCCTTCATTTCCTGTTCGTTCAAGGAAAGAAGTATGTGAGCATTGGATTTGAGGTGACAGGCAGTTTCACGGTGCTACAGGGCTGTCTATAACCAGCAAGGCTTCTTTAGGGGGAGTGAGAGAAGGGAGATTTTCTTTGAAAATGTACAATTCTGAAGAGCCTGGAAGGCTTCATCACAGTTCATAATACACACAGTTACTAATACTAGAACTGACAGTAATGGGATATATTTTGAAAATATTCCTTATTTACCACTCATTTTGCTCCACTACAGCCTAAAACACTTTGATTTGTATATTAATGTTCCCACTGACAGACTGCAAGGAAGAGTCAGGCTCTTCAAGGTCTTGGAGGGCTGTAACCCCCTGCACTTCATTCCCAGTTGCATCTGGTTTTATACTGTGGAGGATAAGTTTCCTGTCCTGTGGCCATCCTCTCTGACCATGCCGCTGTTTTCTCTTTTAACAATTAAGTTTTGCTGTCAAGTTCCTGTAGAAGATCACTAGCCACAGAAGGGTCCCCATCACAGCATAGTCCATTTTTTATAGGGTAGATTAGCAAGTAGTCAATATGATCTAGCAGGGGTTGATCCACCAGCCCAGTTCTGATGTCACCAGAACATTTAGGTAAGTTTAGCTGTTCAAAGATATACAATATGTCACCTAAGAGCACCAGATCCTGCTCGGTTACTTGGCACCGGCTAATGCTCATGCATCACGAATTCCCCCGTGGCAACTGGAAGTCAGCTGCATAATGCCACTAAGAAATTTCATTTAACAGTAAAAGATGTGGCTCCAAAACCCATTAGCCAGCAGTTTTCAGCCAGAAAAAGAGGACCATAGAGCAGGCTTGCCTGATCCTGTTTGGGAGTGGACTACACCGAGGACAAGGCAGCAAGCACATGTCTGCTACCTGGGGCCAGCGCAGTTTCAGCATCAGTTCCCAGGCAGCAGGCTTTAGGAACTGTGTCCAGACTGCAGGACTGCAGGTAGAGTAAGAAGCTTGCTGCTAGCCACAGCAATGCATTGGTGAAGCAGGAACATAAGAGGCATGAGGCGCAGCAGAAACTAAGCTATGCTCAGTGTAGCTATTAATAGGGAGAAAATTTCCTAACTAGCAGCTTGTTACCAGGCAGTGGAGGCTTTTGGGAAGATGTTTCTTCTTTATTTATTACCACCAAGTTGTTAAAATCCTCCTTTTGCTTCTGAAGTGTGAGCTTAAACTAAAAAAAAAACCTCTTCTCAAAGTTAAAAATAAATCTAGTGGTTGTTTGGACTGTTTTGTATGGGTAGGAAGTTCAAGTCAGTACGTCAATAACATTAGGCTTTAACCATCTGTCAAAGTGGACTCTCTGTTTTTGAGAGTCCAAAAGCACAGGACAGTTGTGATTTCCTTCAATGCTGAACGGAGGCTCCCGCCTCGCAGCAGGGTCTTTACTCTTCCTTCCCAGTTTCTATAGGTTCCCAGGCTCGCTGTTGCAAGAGAGGTGTGAAGACTTAAAGGGACAGCAGCAGAAAAGGAGGGTATGCCATGAGATACCTGCACCCCCACAGCCCCAAACCCATCTGGGCATCCCCAGGAGGGAGCACACAGAGAAGAGGAGGACTGAGAGAGACCAGGTAGCAGGTTTATTCTCTTCTCTCCACTTCAGCACAGAAATGACCACAAGCTTTCCTTTTATTTAACCACCTCATCACTCCCTCTGCCTTCTCCACGCTTTCATCGTAAGCCCATGTTCCTTACCCTGACCACCTGCCGCGTGCTCGTGATGAAGGCTTTCCTGATACTCAGCTCCGTGGCATCGAGGTTGAATTTCCGTGGGTTTGCCTCAACGATGCGTAGGCGGCGAGTCAAGGAGATGTCGTTAACAGCGTTGGGTAGGCACACAAATACACAAACCCCAAGCACGCCACAGCGGGGGTCTACCAAGCGTCCACTGCGCTGTGCCTTTTCCCAAAATTTGATTAGCCAAGTACAAAACACTGGAGGAAAAAACAGCCACGGCAGGAACATACTGTGCAGTACAGGCACCAGTGTGAGGTTTTTCCTCTTGCAATTTTTTGGTTCTCTGATACTGCGCAGCACTTTCGGGAGTGCTCAGATGAACACAAGGGAAAAGAAATATTTCTGGAAGACAGCCTAGAGTACGACTGACTACACAGAAATCCAAATTCATACAACACAATAGGCTTTCTAGAACAAAGCATCTTAGAATATACCTTGTCAAAAGGAAAACAAAAAGGCAAAAGGAAAATCCTTTTGCTGAACACGTTTGTCTTAATTTCTCATTTGCAGTTTGAGAAAAGCCAACATAAATGCAAAATTCAATCCCGAGTAGTCCTGATTTCTATAAAAAGTAACTCCTGGCAAGCACTGGTACTCAGCTATTTAGTCCAACTCAGGAACTGCACACCCTTACGTCCATAGGACCACAGAAAGGATATTAATTGTTTCATCCAAGTCTTCCAGGTCCCACTCGATGCTCCGCAGGTTGTTCCTGAGTTCATTAGTGGTCCAGTCAATTTCTTCTCTTGTGGCAATGGAGGGATCTTGTAAGAGCTCTGTCCACCTCTGGAAGAGCCCCTGGGCGGTGTTCACAGCCTTCTGCACCTCCCTGCAGCCAGGGTGATCAGAGAGAAGTGCAGGGATTATCATCACACCAGGACAGCCCTGAGTCCAGCTAAGCAGGGAAGAACAGCTTTCTTCCAAACACCACTCCTTCACACAATTTTTAGTTTATTTTGTAAAATAAGGATTTGCCCTACTCCCTGGATAATCCTGTCTCTTGTTGCGGCACAAAATGCTGAGCAGCAACAATTTGCAGGTCAGCTATTAATCAAAGGACCTGGTTTTTTATGGGAGGTTTTGTCGAGTGTCATGCAGGCAAGCCAGGGCAGAGTGTCTGAACAAGGCAGCTCTTTGGCAATTAATGTTCTGCATTCCTCTCAACAGCTTTCCTCTGTATGTAAGATACCCCAAGGGTACACAGAATTACAGGAACTGTCCCCACAATACAGCCAGGCAGACTCTTGAGTTCAGCACTGTTTACTTTAATTCAGCATTTAAAAAATACACAGCTCTACTGGCTTAGGGAACAGAAGTCTTTTCTGCTGCTCTAAGCTTTTTGGAGATGAGTGCATTCACAGCATGGGAAGGCAGGCCTTGCTGACAGCACTGAACACTGCTTTGATCATTTGGGGCAAGTGGGTCTGCAAGTTTGGGTCATGGTCTATCAGTGTGGTTATCTGTATTTACAAACTCTGCGATCCTGGGCTGTGAAGCGCTCCCCCAGGTTCATGGGGAGCTGGGATGAGGGGTGCAGCCAAGACCAGACTTTGCTGGTGTGAAAGGGGGCCACCATGAGCCCAAGAGCTTGCACACAGCATCCACATAAGATGCAGGTGTTTATCGCCAGTAAAGGTAAGCAGGTTATCAGTGGGGGAATCCCAGGACAGATGAACTGAGCCCACACCCTGCAGGGGTGCCAGAACTGCAGTTTCTCTTTACTTTATACCGTGGCCTTAAGTACTCAACATTGTTGTCTAAGCTGCAGTCTCTCGGCACCCTGACACGCATCCTTCCACTTCTCGCACACCCACAGCTCCAAGTCTGCCACATCTAGTGCCCTAAAGTCAGCAGCCTGCACCGAGGATCTGGAACTTCATTCCCTCTACTACTTGCTAGCAAAAGTCTTAAGTTTTCTTCCATCTGGGCACACTTGGGAAAGTACCCACAAACAGGAATTTAAAGCAGAGCTGGATGTCCTCTGATGGGAGGAGTTACAAACTTCAGAAAAGCTAACTAAACACAATGTGGACAGCCTCCACCAGCCCCTTCCACCCCAACTGGTCGGGTAATTAATGCTGGGAGTGGCAGCACATCCCCTCTCCCCTCCCAGCCCTTCCCAGAACAGCATGGGAACCTCTCCGGAAAATTTCACAAGACGTTTACTCCCCACCCATGGCAACTCGTATTTTTTCCCCTTAGCATCAGTTCAACCTGGCAGAGAGATTCTCTTTCCCTGGCTGCACGAGCATCCCTTCCCACACCTCCTGTGCTCACATGCTTTTCCCACAGCTCCCCTATGACCACCTCCACTGCTCCTGAGGGCTGTTTCACTGCGATATGAGGCAGGCGACCAGCCGGTAGGAAAAGCTGAAGCTGGCCCCAGGGTAGTTTTTTAGAGACTAAGGTGGTTTCACGGTATTAATTACAATTTTCCTTTCCTGCTGCTTAGACTGCCTTTGGTTTGCGCTCGCCTTTGTTCAGGCACTTCTCTGTTTGCTTCCTCTCAGGGCCACTGTCCACACTCCAGCTTCTTCTCCAGCTTGGTCCCTGCTCTTCTCCATCCTTCCGCCTGGACACCACGGCCCTGGCCTCCTGGGGATACCACCCACGAGCCAGCCCGCCCGGCTTTGCCTGCTGCAGGGCGACATTTCCCAAGCCGCTGCCACCTCTATCCGACGGCCGGCGGGGACATCCGGGCAGGCTGTCCCCAAGCCGGGCCAGCGTGCCGGCGGCCGCACCTGCAGCTAAGGCAACTCTGCACCTCCCGCTCCCCCGCCCACCCCTGTACCCGGGGCCGCACCTAGAGCTGGGGTGTCCTTGGCCCGCAGAACGGGGACCACTTCTCGCTGAGAGGCCCGGGC